TAATCACTTATTTAATAATTTTTTCTGTATTACTAACTTTTAGAATGTTTTTTTTTAAAAGATTAATATTATCATTTTAAATAATATTCGTTTATGAAACATTACATGATTTATTATATTTATAAGAAATATTAAGACTTGGTTTATTTCTTAGAGTCTAAACAATACTTTCTTTTTTAGGAATATTTTCATTTTCTTTTTTTTCAATATTTTTTATAAATTATTAAAATTTTTAAACTTCTTCTTAATAAGATTATCTTTCTAATTTTAATCAGTTAAGAAATTAGTTTATTTTCATTTTATAAATTATTTAATTTTATAATTAATTAATAGCTTTCTTAATTTTAGTTTTAATAATTTTTTTATAATTAGTCTAATTAATTAATAAGTATTTAAATTTATTCATCTTTTTGTTTTAATTAAACTATATATTTTATATTTTTTTCAATAGGATTACCAGAAAATTCGTTAATACCATCTTCTTCGAATTCACTTATTTAAGTAAACTTATTTTAACTGGATTTTTGTAAGTTATTTTATTATATAATTTTCTATTCCTAGAAGTTTTTCTCAAATAGATTATCTTTTTATATATTCGTCTATTCTGGAAAAAACTAACATTAATTTTTCTTTAATTACTCATATTTATGGGTTTATTAAAATAATTGATTCTTTAATTCTTTGTTTTTAGTATGATATATTTAAAAATTTTATTAGATATTATGTTTTTCTTTTTTTCATTATTTATTTTAATCCTTAAATCATTACTTAATAAAAAAAAATGAAATATCATAGTATATATAAAAAATAATATAGAAAAATACTTTGTTTGTATTAAATCTTCTATTTATTAATTCGATTTTTCCAATTATTATTATTTTTCTATTTAATTTTATTCTATTTATTTTTGTAATATTTCGATTTTTTTATGTTGATCTTTACACATTTCTTATAAACTAATTACACTTTTATTTTAGTTTTATATTTTTTAATTAATATCATGATTTCTCTCACTTTGATTTTATAATTTATATTCATAATGTTATTTTATGTCTTATATTTCTATTTAATGGGTATTTTCTTATACATTCATATTTTATTGCAATTATTATATTTATATTAATAAATTTTAGTATGTATTATTATTAATTTATTAGTTGTTTTCTCCATTTTCAATTAAACTTAAACTTTTACCTTTATTAAAAACTGTTTTATAAGAAATTTTATTTTTAACTATTTGGGTAGAATTTTAGATAAAAAAGCTATTATTTTGATCATTTTATTAAAATATTTTTTTCCTAGAACTATTTCTATTTATTTTCTAATTATATGATTTATTTAGGGATTCTTGATTTTTTTCAAAATTTTATTAAAAAAATTTTCTATTTTGATCTTTTTAATGAAATTCATTTTTTAATTAATACATTATTTTTTATTTTAAAATAATAAAATTAATTTAACGAAAAAAAAAATTTTCAAATAAAATAATATTTATGTATATATATATATATATATATATATATATTATATTTTAATTAGTTTTTTTTTTTTATTGCATTTTAAATAAGTATCCTCATATTTTTTTAAAAAATTAATCTATTCTCATATTATTTTTGGGCACGTTTATTTTTTCGTGTTTTTATTCTTTACTTTTTATGTTTATTTTATTCATTTATTAAGCTATTTCCTCATTTTTATTTTCGTTATCATTTTCTTAAGATTATTACAATAAACCTAAATTATTTTATTTATTTAACAATTGATATATAAATAAAAATTACATTATAAAAATTATAGACATTAATCATTTTTTATAACTTCGTCTTTAATTAAATTAAATCTTTTTAAAAATATATATTAATTTTTTACATAAATCAACTGTTTATAGTTTTTTCTTTTTTTCTATAATACTGATCTCTGACATTTTTAAACTAAATAACTTCCAAATAGCTCCTTTTATTTTTAAATAACAATTTTTTTTTTTTATGCTTATTAAAATTTATTTACTGTTGCTTTTTCAAAAACTAATAAAACTTCTTTACTTAATATTTTATTTGATTCATCAGCTTTTAAAATATATTTTATTTTTGAAATTGGGAACGCTATATCTAATTATTTATCTAAATTTTCTTCATTTTAACTAATTTTTATATAGTTTTTTTTTTTTTTTTTTTTTTATAAAAAAATAAAACTCATCATCATCTACTAAATTTTTTAACTTAAAAAATAAAATATTATATCAAAAATTATTTTTTTAAAAAATACGTATTCTTCCATTTCTTTTTTATATCTTAGATTATCTTCTTATTATAATTTATAGTATTTCTAATATTTTATTTTTTATTTAACAAAAAAATAAAATAAGTCATAATTTACTTCTTTTTCTGGCAAACTAACTTCGTTCCAAATTTATCCCATATCTTTAAGGTTTATTTTTACGTTATATTCTATATTTAATAAAAATAACTTTATTATATTTTTTTAATTAATAATATCTAACTTTATTTATAATCTTAAATAAATAAGAAATAAGCAGATGAAGCTTTTTTAGGTTTTTAAACACTTTATTTTTATTAGATTTCATTTTTGACGTTTTCTTTTTGGCTTTCGTTATATTTTAATTTTTTTTAAGAACTTTTAGCTTAGCTTTATTCGTATTCTTCTTCTTAAATCATCTTTTTTATATATATATATTTATATTTTATCAAAATTAATATATAAAAGCGCGAAAAATAAATATATTAATTTATATATATATAAACATAAATATAATAAAAATTTAAATTAGACTAGATTAATATTAATTAAATAAAAAATATTCTTTAATTTTTTTTTAAAAAAATAAAAATAATATAAATAATTTTTTTAAAAAAAATATAAATAGAAATTTAAAATAAAAATGGATTCAAAAATTTAATAATAAAATCAAAATGATTTTGATATAAAGTACAATTAATAAGAAGAATGTCCATTAGAAATAAAAGCAAAATTAACAAAAATAGAAGAAGAAAAATTGACTAAGTTTTTAAAGAAAGTTGAAGATAGTATTTAAAATGATGATGAAATAAACTTAACAATAAAAAATAAAATTGGAGATTGGAAAAATGAATTAGTTAAAAATAATTGAAAATATATAATATGTATTAATATTAGAAAAAAAGATATATTTATTTTATATATATTTAATAAAAAAATGAATTAGTATAAAAATAATTGAAATATAAACAAAAATAAAAAATAAAAATATATAAATGTATAAAAATTAAAAGCATATTAGTATAAATTAAAATTTAAAAGTAATTATTATACTAACAATAAAAATAATAATAATAATAATAATAATAATAATAATAATAATAATAATAATTATAATTTATTATAACAATAATAAAAACATTAAAAATTTTTAAAACACTAATAAAAAAATATATTTTTTATAAAATTAATATTTTATATATTTAATAAAATAATTATATAAAAATTTATAATAAAAAATTAATGCTAAATTCTGTATAAATAGATGAAAAATTTATAGAATAGAATGAAATTTATTAAAAAAATTAATATTTTATATCGCGAATAACATTTATAGATTCTAACTATTTTAATTTACAAAATATGAGTTTATAATTTTACATAAATAATTAATATTTTGATAATATAGAATAAAATGATTCAACGTCTTTATTTTTACATATATTTGATTCTTTATAAATTTGTATTTTTGATCTATCTATTAAAAAAAACTAGGTTAAATAATAATAGATACAAAAACCATATATTTTTAAAAATAAAAAAATTTCAATAATGGTTTAAACTAAATTTAATAAATGATCAGAATATAATTCAAGTATTAATATAATTTGACATATATGAATTTTAATAAAATAATGATTATTGTGTTCATTAAATAGATAATAATGAATATTAAAATTAAAGTAATGATCTTTAAATTGAAAATAATAAATTTTAAATGGAAGATAATGCACATTTTTAATAAATAAAATCTAAAAATTATAATATTTTAAATAAATTAGAGGATTAGCTTAATTATTTTATTAAAAAAATTCATAATAAATTTTTGAATGAAAATCTAATGAGTTAATAAAGACATAAATATTAAAAAATAAAGAATTTACTTTTTAAGACTTTATAAACAATGTAGATTTTAAAAAAGCATGATTAGTGTAAAAATTGCGAAAAAAAATATATTCCTTAAATATAAACAGGAATTAATTAAATTTAATAGCTTTTTAGTTAAATAATTAAAAAAATGAATATTTAAAAGAAATAATAATGTAATATATAAAAAGGAAATGAAAAAAATATAGAAGAAATTGAAAAATTAATAGAAGAATAATAAGAATAAAATTAGTATTTTAATAATTTATATTAAATGGAATTAAAAAAATAAAAAGAAATTTAAAATGATTTTAAATAAAATAAATTTAAAAAATTTATATTTGAAAATGATTTAAAATTCTTTGTTAAAAAAGTTTAAAATAATGAAAATTTTAAAGAAACTTTTAAAAAGGAAGAATTTAAATTCATTTTTGATTATTATCTTTAAATTAAAAATATAAAAGATAATTTAATAAATGATATTTCTTAAAAAAATATAATCCTTTAAAATAATAAGAGGAAAATTTCGTAAATTAATACCTAAAAAGATTATAGTCCCTTAAAAATTAAGTTATTTTAGAAAATCAAAGAATCTTTTAATAAAAAGAAAGATCTAAATCTGTTTTTGATAAATATTCTAATAATTAAAAACCTTATATTGATTATTCACCTTTAAAAAATACAAAAAGTCGCTTAAAAAATAAATATAGTCATTTAAAAAATCCAAAAAGTCCATTAAATAATATAAAATGTGATTAAAAAAATAAAAGAAATAATTTTGAAAATATAAAAAGCCCAATATAAAAAATAAAAAGATTTTATTTATCAAAAAGTCCTAATATAATTAAATCTTAATCAAATTAAAAAAGTCCTTTTACAAGTAATAATATAAATTAAATAAATAATAAAAATATAGATACAAGTAATTATAAATTAAAATTAAAAAAAAATGATAATAATGAAATAATAAAAAATGAATATATAAATATTAGTAATAAATATAAAAATAATGATAAAAATATAAAAAACGATATTGAAAATCTTTTAAAAAAAAGATAAATAGTTATTAATGATTTATTAAAACATTAGAAGATATATAATGAAATATAAATAATATATATATATATATATATATATATATATATATATATTATACATATTATTTAATTTATTATTTTATTTTT